ACACATGTTCGTCAATTTTAGCGTCTTACTCTACCACAATTGCGTCTTCGTACAAATTCACTTACAGTTATTGCTTTTAGTAACATTCCGGTTGATACATTAAAAGTTACTCCGTAGTTAGGGAAAAAGGCCAAAAAAAATCGCCGAATCTTTATGCCGTTTCACTCCAGTTTGTTTGGCCATTTTTCCCCACAGTGGAGCCTGGTCCCAGGCTAATAATAAATCATTGCCAAACCATGTGGAATGTTGTACCCGAAAGACTAAAAAAAAGGAAACTGAGCAGTTCTGAGTTGACAGACTTAGTAGGTTTGCAAAGGGTGGGAGAGATAAACTGGAGAACTGCACAACTCAAAAATGCACAACTGGTGATACTTATCGCTTGTTCCTAATCACAAAAACTGAAGACCTCGGTTGAAGATTCAAGTGATAAGTTGGATAATGATATCGACCGAATAAAAAGCGGTGGATACCTAAATGTCAGGAATACCAAATCCGTTATCTACTACGTTGAGACGTTTACCAGTAGAACGTGCTATCCAGCATAACTGGAGCCAGACTTTTACATTTTGGTACTCGAATGTATTCTGTCTATGCATGATGTGGGGTTACAAATGTTTATACCGAGATTACATTTTAAACTGTGATTTTCTGGCCCAAGTTCAGTTTCATCTCTTAACCCCAACCCCAACCCGCATATTTCTACTAATTTTGCGGGGCTCCAAAAGTTCAATTTGTATATCAAGGTCACAAGATGCAAATACTACAAGTTCAGTATTAACTAAGTATAGTGCATCTCACCTCATCGGTTGGTAGCTGGTCCTTGAACTCTTCCATCTTCGTTTCTGTGTCGTGGATGATGCTCTCGGCCTGGTTCACTGCCTCTGTCAGTTCCTAGAAACACAGATAGCGAAAAATTTGTAGTGATTACAAGTAACAGAGATACTGATAGCAGATCTTTTGCAGAAAACTATCAAAGATCTACTCCTAGATGAAAACTAGCCTGTTCAACGCGTTCAGATAGTAGAGCAGGCCAGATGAATAATTATAAGTTAGCATGCATTTAACCAAGCAACAGGTTAGGCAAGACATTTGACTATATGGTATCAAAACTCATTTTGCTTTTTATTTCCCTCTTATTTTACAGTTTAATAAAGCCATTACCGAGTTGCCCGAAGACTCTCTTTTAAAGCGAGGCTAAGTATGAAGCCATTGACATGAAAATGAATTATTATTCTCCTGCAAATGACACTTATTTTCACAAGAGAGGCTTTGAAAGTGGGAGCTTATGGAACTCGGAAAGGGCCTATTCAAGAGAGAATAAAAATAGCCCTACATGTAATTTGGATTTTAACGTGCGGAGCGCACGAGCCGTTGTAGCTTTACGTGCCCTGCAGGTTATTTCTTTAGCTTTCCTCTTTATCCTTTTTTTTGAAAATGACAACTGACACACATTCATAATCAATGCAAAATTCAGCTGTTCACAAGCATCTATACCCACTTCACACTTACTTTCTTTTGTCTGTCGCTGTCAGCATACTTCTCAGCTTCTCGAACCATGTTTTCAATTTCGTCTTTACTTAGTCCTCCAGAAGACTGGATAACAACTGAAACAAAGCCGGGAAAATATCCACACTGAAAATATGCTACATGTACTTTTATTCCCTATTAAAGTGGAAGTTAAGCCTTGTATTCAGGAGGGAAACAAGCTCCGATGTCCTGGCATTGCACGTGCCATTTAGCAACTGTTCGACATTATCAGCCCATTCATAAACCAATGCACTACTGCAATGATTTCGTGAAGTATGTTTAGTCATTGTCTATTTCAAGACCTCAAAACCATTATGCTTTTCTTCTGTTACCTGAAACTTGTACTTTCCTAGAGGAAACCCAAAAGCTTAATTTCAACTGGAAGCAAATGGAAAGCAGGCTTCATTACGCCCAAAACACCACCGTTATTTATTTTTGAAATAGCAAATCATACACCAAGAGTGTCAATAATTAATAATAATTATTATTGGACGAGGTTTCGGCTTTGGCAAATAATTGTCGGATCTGCTCGCCACTGACAACTCACGATATTTTGCGATAACCGAGTTCATTAAGTGTTTTATCATTCGATCGCCGAGTTTGTTTTTTTTAATTTCAGGAAGCGAAGCAATCTGCCATTTTCATGCAAGAGCGATCGCAAGAAGGAGAAAAGCATGGTTCCATTTATGCATGACCAGACCATTATTTGTAGGCAGTTATTTGCAGGTCATGTGGTAGGCTCACGGCCAATGAAAAGGAAGAAAAACTTGCAATGAATAATAATGATAACCATCTTACTTTGTTGTTCTCTGCCAGTTCCTTTGTCTCTTGCAGACACATTGACAATTCCATTAGCATCAATATCAAACGTCACTTCTACTTGTGGTACACCACGTGGAGCAGGAGGAATTCCAACCTGTAATGAGCCGTGTCAAAAACATAGGAAAGGCAAAGTCATTTTGTACTACTGCATATTTATAGTGAATTTTACACAATCTCTAAATGACAACTAAGATTGTTTTAAGTACATGAAGGTTTAATTTGGTCAAATTGGAGAGTGTGGTACTGGATAGGATGGCTACTGCATGGAGGTTGACACCCAAGTCATAGAGGGGTTGCTTATCTTCCCTTTATAGTATTCAACTCTCATTATTGGGTTAAAATCAGCAGGGTTGTTTTTAGTGAGTAAACCAGCTTTCTCACCAGTTGAAATTGTCCTAAAAGTTTATTGTCAGCAGCCATTTCACGCTCTCCCTGATGGACTTTAATTTCCACCTGAGTCTGGCCATCAGCTGCTGTAGAAAACACCTGGAATGAAACAAAGTGAAAATGTATAAACTTCAATTATTTTCTCAGCACTAGAAACTTTAATGATAAATCAGCTTTAGGTTCACCTATTTTTCCCTAGAATTATCACTGCAAAAATTAATGCCTTTTGGAGTAACTCAAGTCATTACACTTTCTGTCCATCATTCTGCACTGACTTTATTATTAGACTCAAAACTATGTACAGGCTGTAAGCATTGTTGTCCACTCTCTTTCTTCCTTGGTGAAAGAGTACAGCTTTTTTTTCAGGCATGCACAGACACAAAAAAAATTGTGAGAAAAGAAGAAGCAAGCTTGACTTTTTCAATGTATCTTTGTCTTCCTAGTGTCCTTGTTCTGTGAAAGATTTCTCTGGTGCTGCACAAGTTGTGCATCAAAATTGTTATTAATTGAAGTATGCATAACATATAAGGTGAAAAAAAGAATAGGACACTAAATTCCCTTCAAAGTTAAACCACCCAAAGACCTCAGCAGTTCAGGTGTACAGTACATGTACTTCACAAATACAAAAGCAGTTAACTCTTTTTACATTAAGATAACCACCATTGTGATTGACACTATATGGCTGTCTTAGGAAGCTGTCTGTCTTAGGGAAAGCCAAAGAAAACTACAATGCATTAAGAGTAGAAAGAACCTACAGTATACTAGGAATACGTTTTAAGAAGGTGGAATTCATATTTCATTTGAGTACCTGACTTTTCTTGGTGGGAATGGTTGTATTGCGTGTAATCAGTTTTGTGAACACTCCACCAAGTGTCTCAATACCAAGTGATAGTGGTGTCACATCCAACAGCAACACATCCTTGACATCACCAGACAGGACACCTCCCTGAATGGCAGCGCCGACAGCAACAGCTTCATCAGGGTTGACAGCCTTNACAGCAACAGCTTCATCAGGGTTGACAGCCTTGCTTGGTGATCGACCAAAGATTTCCTGCACCACAGACTGCACCTGTTTAGAACAAAAGGAAAACAAGTGTAAAACAACTTCAAAATGTCAATAAAAAATTAATATCATTTGGTTACAAGTATGTTGCCATTGGTAGCTAGTGTTAGCCTAATACCATAAGTTACATAGGCCCTGACTAAAGAAAATATTATTCTGAACAATAATCCTACATTTATATTTTTGATATTATTACTGGTGTATACAAAATAATAAAATTGCAGGACTCATGATCAAGTCAATGAAATTTAATTCTAACCACAACTAAACTAACAGCCTGAGAAAACACCCCGCATTGGTTTCCTTGCGAAATAACAGCTGAGGAAGAAGTGCAGAAATTCCACACTGATGACCCAAAGACCTCAGCAGTTCAGGTGTACAGTACATGTACTTCACAAATACAAATGCAGTTAACTCACCAGTGGTGGTGTAGCAAAATGTCTGCCAGCTGTTTTCAAAACACTGGACTGGAAATCGGATTTGCACAAATTAATTGCTCCTTGCAAGTACGTCGCATATTTGTAAAAACAGAGGAGTAAAAAATTAATATGGATACCAAAAAACAGGGTGGTGTAAATATCAAGGCATTTGCCATCTTTGCCCCATATTAACCGTTTTTACAGATTTGCGACATATTTTGCAGGGAGCAAATTTGTGCAAATCTATTTTTTCGTCCAGTGAAAGGCAACAAAACCAAAAGTACCTTGGGCATCCGTGTCATTCCACCAACCAGCAAAACATCACCTATGTCACTTTTATTGATATCAGCATCTCGCAGACATTTCTTGCATGGCTCTATAGTCCGCTGTACGAGGTCTGCAACCAGGGATTCAAACTTGGCTCGAGTGAGTTTCATGGCCAAGTGCTTTGGACCACTGGCATCCACTGTGATATACGGCAAATTAATGTCTGTCTACAGAAGCAAAACAGAGGTGCATTTAGTTCACTATTCTTTTGTAATACTTTTGTACTTTTCCCTGCAACTTTCAAAGAAGTCTAGTGACCACAAGTTACTGAAAATTTATTATTGTATCTCAGTGGTCCACTGATAAACCAGTCTCATGTTATATACAAGTATCTTGACGCTGAGCATCTACACACAAGAATTTCAATTCCACTATCCCTTTTGATACTGTTAGCTTCCTCAACTCCAACCATTACAGTACAGGCCACGGGCATTCCAGCACTGCACTTCCCTACACTGCTGATGATTACAATAAATATTGTACTTACTACATGTACTACCATTAATTTAAGTCTCCATGAAATCATAAGGGATGAAAAATCAAAGTAAATTGACAGAGCACTTCTTGGAAATGACTACTGGTACTTGTGTTTATGTTAATTATATGATACAATAATTGATTTTATTGTAACCTCTCATTCTCTGCAAGAAATAACTGAACTCAGACTGATTTCTTCTAGATCATGGTGCTGTTGAGACTATGTGCAATTTATTTGTATGACATTGGCCTTTTTATTATCAGTTGAGAGTGAAATGGAATCAAAATGTAGATAAAGTTACCTGCACAGATGCTGATAATTCAATCTTTGCTTTCTCTGCCGCTTCTCTGAGTCTCTGAAGAGCCATGTTGTCCTTGGACAAATCAACACCACTCTAGGATTTGGAACAGAACAATTCACATGAATTTTGTATTAGTTAAGTCTTTCATGCATATTTGTTATGAAAGTTGCCCAACATGCTGAGTATGTGATCCTCTATAATCCACAACATTGTCTTCTTTACAATATAAATGTACAACTTTCATTCTGAACACTACCATTAATGGTTCCCAGTCTGGGTGGCATGGGGACCCAGACATGGATCATATTGCAATATTTTACATTCTTCATGGTGCATACATGTAGGTGCAACCTTAAGCAGTACATTTTTAACAAGGTCTTACTGGCTTTTCATTACTTTGCATAAAAAAATGCCTGTATTTTCTTGAAATTTGCATTTTGGGCAGTGTCGAGCATAAAGCAATACATGTACAGATATACAAGTTTATAGATGTAAAAGGAATACAATTTTAAAGGGATGTGGGCACATAGAGGTGACCGGGTCAAACAGGAAGAGACAGTATGATTTCTGGACCTACAGAAATGTCCATACCAAAAAAGTACAATGTACATGGGGAATAATGAAGCTGTTTCTTTTAAGTGTGAGTTCAGGAATACATATCTTGAGTATCTTAATTTTAAAACAAGTACTGTAAATACCAAAATTTTTTTCTTTCTCTAAAAGCTCACAAAGTTTCAAATGTTTGTCACCTCTTTCTTAAATTCTGATATGAGGTACTTGAGAATAGTGCTATCAAAGTCTTCTCCACCAAGGTATGTGTCACCGTTTGTGGCCTTCACCTGTAAATTAGCAGACAAGGAAAAATAAATAATGTATATAAAACAATGTTGTTTCATTTTCTTTAGGGTAAGAAATATTTTTTGACCTAAGGTGTCCATGTTATTTTGTAAGATGTTATGTATCCCCACCTAATTCAAAAGGAAATCCTGTTAACCTGCTGTTGTCACTGCACACAATGTATTCAAACTTTGTGGTCTACATGTACATAGAATCTTACATAGAATTGAGTGGATCGAGTAAAAGGGCTGATAACAGAACATTGGAATGGTTCTTACGATGTATTTCTAGTTTATCAATGAAATGCACTTGTAACTGTACATGTAGCTCAACTGAATTAACTTGAAATTCTTTATACATGTACTACACTAGGCTATACACAGGCCTTAATGTAACAATGATTAAAAATATCAAAAAG